CAACATAAAAGATCGTTACTTGACTAGTTACATACAGTAAAATATTAGTCTATTAAAAAGTTCCCACACATGATGGTCCCTACTTACCAGACACGTCACAATTTTTCAAAGTAATTCACCCACCGGAGCATCTGGCTGTCACCACACATTGTGTAATAGATTCTTCCTATTTTTACACTTGGCCCCTCCTGCTGGCATTTCAGCCTTTGTGGTGAAACCGCAGCTTGTTGAGACCCAGCCACGGGGGCGACAACAGCATGGCCTCTGCAAATAAAACAGAAATACGGATTTCAGAAAACTGAATCAAGGGCCAGCCGTTTTGGCGTCAAAAATTTACATCGCAACTTTGGTTCGGCACCTCAGTTTGATGGACAGTGCACTTTCCCGAGTCTTCCCGTCAAAGTTCTGGGGTCTTGGGGGGAGGAAAAGACTTGGATCCGTGTAACAATTTCTTCTTCACCTATGTACATTTCCTTCCCCCGTCCCTGCCCCACTATTTCAATAGTTAATTTTGATTAAATTAAAATCATAAGTTAAATTAAGTTCAAATTATCCAGAATGAGATGGTTTCTGCAAGGGTAACAAGGATTTATCAGAAAAAACAACAAAAACTAATGACTTGTTGATACTGTTGAATCAACTGGGGTAAAAGATCTATTGAAGCACGTATGAAGAACAGCCATACTTACAAAAAGCTGTGGTGGTGTCCAATACCGACTGGCAAACTGTTTCATTAAACCCTGAAAATCGAAGGAAAAACTTAAGGAATTCCAAAAAGAAGATGGCATAGGTCTATCGAGGAAAAGTTAAATATTTTGCTTGTTCCTGGTGTGTTACCTCCTAGTTTGAACGGCGTTGAACACGCTATTGGGCTCAGAAACGGTGCTGGTGGCACCGATGATGGAGATGGAGATAGAGATGGAATTAATGGTTTGCGGTGGCCCCGCCGCTGGTATTGCTGCAAGGACACAAACAAGGGCAACATATTCATTGCTGAGTGAAGCGAAGCACCACGTTTGGGATTTAGAATAGCCCAATAGTCTATCAGGACAACATAAACATCAGGAAATATGTCAAAACTTAGTTTTTTTAAAACAATAGAAAACACATTTTCAAATTTGTCATTGTCTGTCAACTGAGATGCTTAAACCGAAAGCAAACAATGAATTTTCAGGGTGACGTCATTCTCTCAAAATCCTGCACACAAGCTCCAACGATCAACAACTGAGAAAAACGGCTGTATAGGTTGGATCTGCTTATAGCCTAAAATGTGTTAATAGATAACTAAAAATGCCTCGAGGCTGAACAGAATCAAATGCCAGCTAAAGGTTGTCAGGTTCTGGAAGAGGGTTGTCAAAGGCCCTTTAGTACCGCGGTGGAGAAACCGAGCGTACTCGCGTTGAGTGGGAAGCGGTACACGCGGCCGTGCTGCCGTACTTACGGGAAATGGTGAGCTCTGTGGGGATGATGGTGGAGCTCTCGTCTGCAACAACAACGGGGGCAACTCAGACAAAAGCACGAGTGGCAGGCCCGCCAACTAAGGCCTAAGGGTGCCCGATGAGAACAACCAAGCCCGTACATCCAATGTATTTCATTCGTACATACCACCTTCTTCTTTCTGCCTACCCTCTCGGGCATCAGGGGGAGGGGGAGGGGGCCTCCTGCAACAACCGTGAGGCCGGCATGAGTACAGTCTTGAAGGAAACATGGAAAAGTCTGGTAAAAGGTGAAAATTCTGTTAAAAGAAATCTAGAAAATTGAAATCCCTCCACCCGTCTCGAAACCAATATTTGACAAGGGTGTGTTGTTTACTTAAACAAAGTGGACAATATGTTTATGGGAAGTTATTATGCAAATATAAGTCAATACGTAGTACTAGAGAAAAAAATAAGAGGCAGAGCGGCAATACATGTACATCGGCAACGGATATTGTATGAGACAAAATAAGGGACTGGTGCGATACCCATGATATAATTGCAATCGAATTTGGGGTACGACAAATAATTTATGATCTTGCTGCTGTCTGCAATCCCAACAAAGATAATACTACAAAAAAGATGAGTGATATAGGTCAACTAATTGAGTCAGAAGGAAATAAGAACCTAATCATTGAGGGCAATATCAATGTTGACCTGAAACACTAAGATGATGTTATTAAGATGTTCATTATGGGCCCATAGGTTACCGATGAATCGACTGAACTCTGCAGGGGTAGGGACATCTTGTTTACAAAGGAGAAGCAAAGAACATCAATAGAGAAACACTAATTGAAATTGAAATTAAAGAAGGCAGACTCATTCTTTACCATGGTTCATCATCAATATACATGAGGTGTCAAGTCAGTGTAAATACTGACCACGAAAGATAAGAAATCAATACTCTACACTGTCCGGGATTATTTTGTGAAATTACGATTAATTGTCTGTTAAATCTGTACCACGAACTGCTCGTAAATTTCAAAAACGATCTGATCATCCATCTTTTTTTCGTCAATTTACAAAAATATTCTTAAACTTACAAACTTAATCCTCAAATTTTGGTCGTTTCAGGCATTTTTTCTTCCTATATAGTAAGGAAACAACGGACGAAAACGCACTTTTTCAGACTTGCTTTTACAATTCAGACTTGCTTTTACAATCATACTTGTAAATTAACGATTTCACCTGTAAATTTAAGAAGCAGTTTGAAAAATGATGAACAATTTGTCAATTTACAATTTACTTTGTAAAAAAACAGTGCAGTTCGTGGTACAGATTTAACAGACAACTATTCTTAAAAATAAAGCCTGATTTGTAAGAAAACAAGTTTACGCGTTATAAAACGAGAATAGTCGTAAGATAACGGTTTTATCAGTAAAACTACGATCTTTCGTCAGTAACATTAAGATTTCATCGTAAAATTACGAATTTATTCCTAAATTTATGAGTAAAGTTTGTCGAAAATATGACAATTGTTCATGTCATGAATCTTGTAGTTACTTAACGAATTATTATTTGTAAAATTACAACTCTAATTGTCGGGATTACTGTTGTAAAATAACGACTTCTCTTAACAGTGTAGGAACCTCGAATGCAGGCTTCATATTTCCATTTATTTTTCGGGAAAGTTACTTTCACAGAGTCTATGTTCAAGGAAAAGCTGTTCCATGAACTTGACCGTATACCCTAAGAAGGAAAATATAAAATCGTTTGACGAAGGGGTCTTCTAATGACGTGAAATGCAATGAGGTTTTCAGGAAACAGTATTATAACTGATGATAATAACTACAAAATCTCTTTGGGTGACTCGTAGCCAAATTTGATGCCGGGTACAGGACTCGAAAACGTTCTCTCGCAAACTGAGTCTACAGCAGCCGACGCCAAAGAAATTGATCGAATCTTGCAAATAATCTGCCTCTCGAGCAAAACGAAACCATGTCCAGTCTTGTTCCTCCAAGGTCTAGTAACAGAAAGTTTTGTTCTTTGACCCAAAGTGCTTCAGTTGATACTTTCTGAAACTACGTTTGACAGCAAAAAGGCGCGGCAATTCAAACGGGGCTGGAGGGTCAGGCCACGATTTAACACTTTTATTCGAACCTTTGAAGGAAATATGTGAAGAGTTAAGGTTACGGATGCTGAGGAACGACCTCTCAACATAGATCTGGTAAAAAATCATCAGGGATTTAAAATATTGCTAGTTTTGAGCGTCTACTGTCGTCGTCTGCTGGTTTCAGTTCGTGAAATTGTCATACTTTCCTACCGCCACATTTCGCGAAACATAACCTCACCTACCGCATGGGAACCATGCACCGTAGGGAAAGAAAACGTCCAATTACTTTGGGTCGTCGCCTGTGACTTACCATGTTTCCTTTTACAGTGACGTACTAACGATGATTTACAGGCGCATTTCTGCTGACAGAGCAGTCAAACATGGCGTAACTTCGTAACTTAAATAACTTCCTTGCGTGCCAAATCTGGCTGGATGCTGCGACAGCTGCTGTCAACAGCAACGAGTCGGAGTCCTAAGTGTGGGTTAGGTTATCGCGTCCCGTTCGATGGAACATGGAAGTACGTTTCATGATGTGCTTCTGCAGAGCAACCAATTCCCCCTTCTCACTCATCGGCTTAAAGAAATCAATACACGGAAGGTTCACGCCAGACCACGTCTTGTAACAGGCTTCGCGATGTCTCGCTGCCTGTTTCTCAAGGCGTACCTACCTTGGCCTGCGGCGCTAGCCTGCCTTCGGCAGGCAATGGCTTTTCCATCGTCAGTTACTTCTTACCCGTTGCGTGCTGGGGCTCGGGGGCTCCGCCCCCAGACCCCCTAAGTTCTAGATAGAATTGCTTTATCTAAAGATCTGGAAAAAGTAGACATTTCCAGACAATATCTGAAAAGAAAAACGGCCATTTCCAGATAATATCTGGAAATGCGAAGAAATAACTGGAAATTTCCAGACACCGGTTTCACCGTGTGTGGTCAATATGGCATCCATTTGACCACACCAGTTGGTGCGGTCTAAACCACGTTTGGTTTTTCAGTGTACACTTTCTTCGGCGTGTACTGACAAGTTTAATTTCCACGTTCTTTGAATTGCAACTTCATAATTTTCGCGGCAGCGGTAGTTCAGTGTAATTTGTAAAACGTTTCTCAACACTTGCCGTGCGGAGCATGCCGCACAGTGGGCCAGAAGAAACGGTGGAGGCGGCCAAAGCTCTAGACGCGTTTTGAGCGCCAGAGTCGCTAAATGGGACTCGAACCGAACGTGACCCCACCAATCGATTCCTCGTTCAGAGAGCAATCCATTGGTAGGGTCACACGTGTGGTCCGAGCGCTGTGAAGCGACTCTGGATCTCAAAACGCGTCTAGAGTGTTGGCCGCCTCCACCGGTCTTCTGGCCCACTGTGTGCCGCGTGACTTGCGACGGAAAGCAACAAAGTAACGACGCGACACGCGAAATTGGTTGGAGGCGAGTCCCGAGCGCGACATTGCCGGTGTTTTACTACTTCCGTGCGAGTGGCGCCCGCATCATGTCGCTGCTTTCCCTCTTGGTTGGGGTGCTGCTGTTAAATGGCGTTGGCCAAGTTACAAGCAAAGCCATCCACTCATTTGCTGTACGTAGGCACTGGGGATGAAAGAATCACTACCATTGCCTTTTCATTGGGCTATGTACAGGGTAAAGTATACAGTTACCGTCAGTTGAAGAGCATCGCTTTCTTTTCGAGGGCCTCCTCTAGGGTAGGTTATGTCATTTAGAACCGCGTGACTTGTTCCAGACACCTCAGAAGGATTTAGACAACGAAGTGGCAGACAAAGATTTCACAAAAAACTTCTTGTGTCGCTCTTATTTGACCTGAGAAAATGGTTACTAAAACATAGTTATCGGCACCTTATATGACAGTCGGCACCCCTTGTTAAAAAGGCAAAACATGACCGAAATTGACGAAAATTTCCAACAGTCATCACAGACACTCCATATCACTCCTCGACATGTCACAAACCCCCTCTCTCTTCTGTAGTGTCTCTTGGGCCCTTCAGTTTAGACTCACAGACAACCAGCACCGTATGAGCTGCGAAATAACAACCTTTCGAAGCGCCGAAGAGGACATCTTGTAAATCACGTAGATCACTAGGAAAAGGTGGTCCGATTTCGTTCAAATTTGGTAGCGAATGCATCAGTGTATTAACTCCTGAACGACGCCGGAAACAGCAGTGAAGTTTGAGGGCACGCTGACGATAACTGTGTTTGGGGTGATTTCGTTAGTGCAGTCCCCCCCCCCCCCCCCCCCCCCCCCCCGATTGAGCACATAAGCAAAAGGAATTTCAGTGCACCAAGCACAGCAAGCCTTCTTCAATAGATAGAGGGAAGGAACCTTGCAACGAGAAAAAAAAATTTCGGCCCACATTCATGAATTTGACGAAAGTTTGAACCCTTGTTCCTAGCATAGAAGATAAGAACCGGCAGCCGAAGCGGCCTCGTTCTGCAGTTGATAAGAAACGTGGCTCTGTTGGCTGACATGCTCAATCAAACGCGGTGCCGTCTCGGTACTGCATGCTCAAAAGGTGCCTCTAGCGACCTGCATTGGCCGAATCACGAACGGACGCGTATACTTACTTGCAGAGCAGGACCCAATCATTCACCGAGGTGACGATAACTGTACCCTTGCCGAACTGTATAATTTACCCTACATGTCGCCAAATCTTGGGTGAAGAGTTAGTGGTGACTTAATTTTGGGCAGTCAAAAAGTCATCGCCCGTAGTTTAGGAACGGACGCATGGGGACCATCATGGTAGAACCAGAAGTTCATGGGGTTCCTCACAACGTAGCCGACGACGCCACTTTAATTTGGGCAACAAACTTGCATCACCCATTTAAAAGGTGACGTTGCCCTGTGGGCCAGAAGACCGGTAATGGCGGACAAAACTCATGGACGCGTTTTGAGCCCCAGAGTCGTTAAACAGGCCTCGAATCGAACGTGTGATTCCACCAATAGATTCCTCGTTCGGAGAGCAATCCATTGGTGGGGTCACACGTTTGGTTTGAGTCCCATTCTGGAGCTCCAAGACGCGTAGTTTTGTCCGTCTCCACCGGTCTTCTGGCCCACTGTGCGTTGGTGACTCATTCTCAGTGAGGTTCCAACACTGAAAACGCAAATGCGTCAAACATTGGCCTTAAGGGCACGACAGTCAGACAGTTGGATATTATCTAATGCACGGGACCACGACAGATTCCATTTTGACAATTTCGGGGGTAACTTTTAGAGTTTTTCGACAATAGATCTGGTGTTACTGGACTGCCATGCCTAATATTTTGCTGACAGTAAGAGACCTCCTAAGGGTCCTTTGATGCCAATATGATTCTAGTGAGGTTGTAACTTACTTTGGGAATTCAAAAAACGTTGTTTTTAGTAAAAAATAACAGGAAAAGTAGCGATATACATCGGCAACTTTGGCCCGTCCCGTACATACACTGAAAATCCAAGTGTGGGACAGGCATGCACTAGATAACGTGGGACAAAATGTCCCACGCTTGTAAGCGTGGGACAAAATGTCCCACGCTTGCAAGCGTGGGACACGGTTTGTCCCACGCTTGCAAGTGTGGGACACGGATTTGTCCCACGCTTACAAACGTGGGACACCGTTTGTCCCACGCTTGTAAGTGTGGGACACGGATTTGTCCCACGCTTGTAAGTGTGGGACACGGTTTGTCCCACGCTTGTAAGCGTGTAACACGGTTTGTCCCACGCTTGCAAACGTGGGACATTTTGTCCCACGCTTACAAGCGTGGGACAGTTTGTCCCACGTTATCTAGTGCATGCCTGTCCCACACTTGGATTATCAGTGTAAACAAATGTGTGAATTTCGCCTTTGTTTAACCCTGACGGGTTTGAACCTGAGTCTGATCTGAAATCTGAAAATAGATGTTATTTTCGTCATCAGCTCCCTCAAAAACATCAGAAACAATGCAAAAACTCGAATAAAAAGAATGTTCAAAATATACCCCACTGGGATTTGAACCCGGGTCCAAACTTCTCCGATTCGCTTGAAACTGGCACCGTTGGTTTTGTCTCGTCGCCTCGATTCCAAAAATACCCCTACATGCCCTGCTAGCTGTATCCGTTGGCGAAATCCTCCTCGACCCCATGTAGACCATGATGCACCTGCAGCAGCGCCCCCGGGGCTCGGATCGGATTTGCTGCCACCGGGCGGTTCTTAGGGTCACCCATGGAGGCTGCATACCAAATTTGGTCAAGATCGGACCACGGGAAGTCATCGGACGAACGAACGGACGCACAGCATGCATCATACTATATGCCCGTCCCTCCGTCATTTTTTTCCAAAAATAAACGGGACGGGCCAAAAATTGCTTTTTTGTTCAGGTTGGGGGTCCCAAGTTTAATTTTCACTAATTTATGTTGCCCCTCACTGGTTTCAACCCATTTGAGCGCCTAAATAAGCAGTTTAAAAAAAGGAAACAGGAAATTTGAAAAAATATGACCGAGGCTTAAGTCCCAAAATTACAGAAAAAAAAATAAACGGGACGGGCCAAAAAGTTATGGAAGTGTTCCCTGGGGAGTAGGCCACGATAGAAAACAAATGAGGGGGGGGGCAGATCTGACCAGTGTACAAAGTTGCCGCTTTCGATCGCAATTTTAATGGTTTTGGGACCAAAATGCTGGTAGCACGCTCCAGCCCTTACGTTAAGTCAATTGAGACGGGAAAGTTGCAGTTGCGTGCGGCGAGCCAACGTCATAGTAAACGATACTGCAACATTGCTGCCGGACCGGCTCGGCCGTTTAGGTGCGCTTACAAAAAGGTTGACGGTCGTACAACTTTTTTTTTTCTTTTTGCCTCCACTCGAGTAAGCTTTTTACTATCGCCCAGCAAGCCAGGGACCAGAACCGAGTGTTCCCCTTTCTAACTGGGAATGTTTAAACTGTAATGGGTAAAGATTTGATAAACATTCCTGGTGGAATGCTCTTCGGACCTGTTTCAGACCCCAACGATCGGATTACGGATTGCCCTGGTACAGCCATCTCTGAGCACTTGTCAAAATTGGTAAAAGGGGGGAAGGAAAACATGGAAAAGACAACCAAAGTTTGCCTTCGTGTAACTTTTCACCCAAAACATTTTCATTAAAAATTTTATACCCCCATTGCTAAGTTCGTAGAGTTGTGAGTAGGGAAGGCAGGGAGTAAATCACGACACCACAGCTCGATGCAGAATGATCCCAGAGCTGCTTGGAGGGGAAGTTGAGAGGAGGGGGGAGAGAGAGCCGAGCGTTATGAGAATTTTAAGGTGAAGTGGAAAAGAAGCATAGAAGGCTATGAAACGGTTCTCACACCCCTTCCCCCAAAGAGCCCCCAGCAGGTAGGAATGTAATTCAGAAATAGATTCAAATTATACAATTACATCAGACTTGTAAAGAGAGTGCTAAATTACAGGTAAATAAGCTTAACATTTATACAGAAACATAAATTGTTCTTTGTTGGAACAGAAAATAATATTAGAGTTCAACAGAAATGGTCAATATTTAATGGACACAATGAATTACAGTTAGTCATAATCATGATATTCAGGTACAGAGCTGTTAGACAGCAAATGGCGGAGGTCAGTATCACTTAGACTGTTAACGTAGTCCCGCAGGTTACCCGGGCGGCGAGTGACACGCTGGGGGCGTTGGTTGACCGCGGGGGCGGGTCCGCCTCGGGGCCCTGTCGCTGCTGCGGGGGCGGGCCCACCTCAGGGCCCCGCCTGGCCCGACCCGCTGGCACTAGTGGCCGTGGCAGGTGCGGGCCTCCTTCCTGATGAGCTCCCAGCTCCAGTTCCGCGGTGGGGCCCACCCTGGGGCCCTCTACCGGGTTGAGGATAGGATGAGGCTTTGGAGGAGCTACTAGGCCCACTCTGGGCCCTAGCAGCGGGTCGTCCCCTCCCCCCAGAGCACGCCATGCCGCGAAGAGGCCCACCATGGGGCCCTCTGCTGGGCAGGGAGGCGCGCTGGTGGACCGGGGAGAGGGAAGCCCGATACTTCCTCCGCTGCCTCCTGTCCCAGGTTTTGTACCGGGAATCGACTGGGCTGCGTTCGTCATCCTTACTTGTGCTGGTCTCCGGGCTTGGGGGAGCGGCGTCGGGGTGGAGACTCAAAGAGGGCGGCGACGTCGGGGAGGACGTCGTCCAGGTCGACGCCCTCGACGTCGACTCCTCGACGCGCCCTGCGTCCTGGCGCAGGGGCGGGAGGATGGACGGCGGTCTGACATCTCCGGGGGTCAACGCTGGCTCCGTGCTGTGCTGGCGCGACGCACCGCTCGCCTCCCGCATGACGATGGGGGAGGTGGCCGCGTCGACCATTGGAGCCGCGGGACCCCTCTGGGTCATTCCACACTAATTCACCGAGGTCGAGGGATCGACCACCTCAGAACTGTCTGAATTTTTGTGTTTCGCCACCAATTAGGGTCCTTATTAACGGTGTAAAACGGTTTTGGTCTGAGTCAAGTGGTTTGGGAGATATAGACATGGCTCTTTTTTGGTACATTTAATAAAAAAAATTCATAGTTTCACAAAAAAGCGCATAACTTCTGAACTGTTTAAGATATCGAAAAACCGAGCTAAGGGC